ATTGCTACTGATGTCTCTCAAACTGAATTTGAGGAGGAGGAGGAGGAGGAGGAGGAGGAGGAATCTGCAAATCTTTCAAATTGCATTAATTACTGTAATGTTTGATAGGAGATAAACTGACTCGTCTTCCTGAGAACATTCTTCTCAGAAGAACTGAGGACTGAGGGAGGCACAAAGAGATCAGCGTTTGTAAACAAGAAAGTAGAAGAACTTTGAGGAAGCAACTATTTAATACTAGAATTCTTGCCCTTAGGGGAAACTAAGGACAACGAGGATGATCAGAGGACCAGAAATTATGATAAATGGAAGGAAATGGGCATCTTTTGCCCTGAGAAAACATAGCTGAGGTAGGATATGATAACACTGTTGAACGACGACAGAGTCAAGAGTATAGCCTTTCTTGAACTGAACTTAGCTCCTGGTCATTTCATTAACACATCTATCTGTATCATTCTTCTTGGCATTAATACAAAGAGGTTTGCCACTGCTTTCTTCTGGATGTTTTTTGACTTTCCAGTCTAGCCCACTACTCTGGGATTTCTTGTTATCTTCCATCTAGAACCTTTTCCAAGGTATCACACAGGAAAAGGTCAAAACACTTTATTGTATTGTATCTTATCATCATGGAGTTAGGAACATGGAACAGCCTTAACTCACAAGAAGGTGGGTTTCAACTGCATTTACAAAAAGGCCCTCAATGGTAAGAGCCATTTGCACCATTTACCAAAGCAGATGGGTTCAAGGAAAGACTGATCTGATACTTGTCAGGAAAGATTTAATTTGGATTCCTGCACTGAATGGGTGGTAGTGTGGCAATGATGATTGGACTTGATGGCCAAAATTGCCTTTCCAGTTCTAGGATTGATTGATTTATATTTCAAATTTGTCACCGTCCATCTCACTACAGAGTGATTTAGTTAGAAAAGAGATGATCTATTGATCTGCATGAGGGGAAAATGGCTCATTTGGAATAAAGGCCCAACTGTCCCCTAGGACTGTGCTGGATAGTGGGCATTTGACTTCCAGTCATTTTGAGGAATGAAACAATTTCCAAAAGGATATTGCTGGATTTAGAGATGGATCAGAGGAGGGCAATGAAGATATAGGGACTTCAGGACATGGTAGGCTGAAGGACTGGAGAAAAGAAGACTGGAAATATATAATAGCTATATTCAGGACCTAAAGGGAAAGTACAAGAAAAATGGCCAAGAACTATTTTCTGTGGCCACAGAAACTAGGACTGGAAATAACACATATAAGTTACAGATATCTAGATTTGTTTAAATATAAGGAACAAACTTCCCAATGGTTAAGATCTGTTCAATGGTAGAGAAAAAATCTATCTATGGAGGTTGTGGATTCTCCATCTCCGGAGGTTTTTAAGAAAAGGTTGGAAAGCCCCCTCTCATGCATTCTTTAAAAGGCTTCCCTGCACATCACAGAGGGTTAGACTAGATGATTCTTAAGGTCTCTTTCAATTCTATGATTGTATTACTTCTCATTTGCAACTAATTCAGAGAGATACTGGATGATGACAGTGCTGCACAGATGCATCATAAAAAGTGAGTGAATGAAGCAGAGTATTTTGATCATAAATGCCTGGTGTGGAAACTCACTGGGGTTATTTCCAGACATATGGCTCCCAGTGCTATCAGTTCAAAAGGTACTGTGACTGCACTGACTTCTTCTCTTTAATTTTTTTTTTCTGGAAAAACGAAGCAGGAGGAAAAGATAAGAGAACTACAAATCAAATATGAAATTTCCTGGAATCTTCTTAAAATTTAGCCAAGGCAATTCTGCAGTAACCTTCTTTTCTGGGAAGGCCTCTAGAATTATGGAATGTGAAGAGAGTGAACTGGCTACATGAATTCATGGAAAAGTTTTGGCCAGGTTAATATTTTCTCAGTCTCAGCTCTGCTCCATCTGCAATACAAGGATTACAACACTGACCTACTTTGTAGTACTACTAGGAAGACAGTGAATTCTGGAACAAGTTAAGGCGGTATCGGTATCGCTAAGCACTTTTACGCAGACACACATTTGATAGGTCTACACACAGCATCTTTCTCTTTCTTTAAACTTACTGGGCTGTTTCTTCCTCTTTCATCAGATACTCTCTTTACACAGAATCAGACAGCGAAACACTGGGATGAGGATGTCAGCTTACGATCTCCCAAGAAAAATGTAAATAAATTAAAAAAAGAGTACAGTCACTATTTCCTAGCCCAACCTAGGAAACCTAGGTTGTTGCGGTGAGAAAAAAAACTGAAGAAGAGTGCATTAAGTTTGCTATCTTGTGCTCCCAGGGGAAAGGTGATATGTAAGCCTGGTATATTTGCCCTAAGATAAAATGGGTTGCTGTTGTGGGGAAGGGGCGGCAGGGGGATTTCTACTCCCCCCCCCCCCCTTAAACATCTTCTACAGCAGTTCTTATACAGTAGAAGTTAACAAGAGGTTTCAGGCTCCAAACCCGTGCCCCTTTTGCAGGCAGTAAACCCAACTCCAGTCCATGGGATTAATTTTGGAGCAGAGATGTACTGTATAAGGAGTACATTATACAGGTGTTCAGTTAGTATGACATTAACTGCTGTTTCCTGTGCTATTCCATTTAGGTTATCTTGTCTTGAATCTTCTCTGGTCAAGCAGATTTTGCTGGACCCTGAAGAAGAAGAGTACACAAAACCTGTGATCAAGAACATTGCTGGCAAAACTCTTTGTTACAATCAACTCTCGAAGAAAATTAGTATCCATCTCCATTTAATCACTGGCAGTCTCTATCCATATCAAGCATTCAATCATATTCTTTAAAAAAACAAAATTCAACATTTTGGGCATGTACAAATAGGAATGTGCCAAAAATGTATTGCTGCAGCAATTATAGGAGCCCTTGAAGCAAGATTATCTTCCAGCCAGAACCATGCTGAAGAGGTATTAAGTTCTTAAAATATCAGAGTATTTCAGAGAGAGACTGACAGAAAGACAATAAAATAAATGAGCATTGATTTGTTTTGCCAGCTATGTGATATTAGTAACTGGAGTGTCGGAGTAGCACAGGATACAACCCAGATTCAAAATCTATTTCATCATGAATTCCACTAAGTGATTTTGAGCCATTACATCTCAGGTAAGAGGAAGTGACATGTGTCCCTTGAAGTCCTTGGAGTAAGAGGGATGGAAATGGAAAATAAAATAAAATAAAATAAAATAAAATAATCTTCATTTTATTTAACCACCTTCAGTCTGCCTTAATCTTAACTTTTATTAACTCCTATATCTTTTAATATAATGTTTCTGAGCCCCTTTCATGTATCCTTCTGGGTTGTTTTTTTTTTTTTACTGTGCTGTGTAGATAGCTCTCTATCTACTTAGAGATATCATCCAATATCATTCAAAAGATGAGTCAACATACATATTGATAATGATCCTGCCTGCTGTTTACTGACCTCTATACTTCTATATGCACACTCAAGTAGTATCTTCTTCCGCAAAGCCCAACCCTTGTCGGCTTCCTTGGGTTTTTTAATCATTGAAGGTTTTCTGAAATTTCTTGAAATTGGGCTTCCTACTAATTTTCCATTATCTTCTAAGTCCCAAAGCCACGTGCAAGTACTTGTTTGGCAAAAAAGCACACAGGATTCTAGGGCGCTCAGTACATCTAACTTGAGAACATAAGATGTTTGTTGAAACCAGCTGCTTGAGAAAAAAATGCTATAGCTATAAATTTGTGCACTATTCCTTGCTTCTTTAGAACTTCCATGAGTATTAGTGATGGCAACTATAAAATAAAAAAAGAGGAACAGTATTTCTGGTAGTACTTGTCAGAGAAGACTCCCTCTCAAGAACTTCACACAGATGTCCATCTGTATCATTCGTGAAGTACCTCAAAGAAAATTATTTTGGTCAAGTCTTAAGTCATGATGGTTAAGTATTTAAATTATGATGCATTCAAAGCATATTTCTCTCTTTTTAAAAGAAACTGATGTTCTTTAGTATTCATAGGGTAATTTTAAATGGTGCACAGAAATTCTTCTAAGTTACTGCCTTCTAAGAGATTACCAATTGCATGGTAGAAAACAATGCCCATCTCCCCCTTTCATCCTTCTGATCCAGGAAATTATATTTGAACGCCTGTATGGAGTTTTATTCCTGAACACCACACAGAGCCTGGGACTATAAGGAACCCCAAGGAAATGGTAGGAAATGCATTGATTTTTATCATTAGCATGCTTTATTTAAATTGGAGTCACTTCTGAGATTGGAAAAAAAAAGTCCCATGTTGACCAACCATAATCAGGCAAATCAGAAGATCAGAATAAAGTGGGCCTAATTAAGATAATGAATCAATAATGTGATATTTCAGTGGTAGAATATGATTGCGTCTTTCAGATGTATTGGGATTGAAATCCCTGAATCGGTTAGCTACACTGGCTGGAGCTTCATGAAATTGCTGTCCCAACACACCAACATACCTGAGAACAACAAATTGGGGAGGTGCCAATGGTTGGCGTGACACCCACGGCAGGCTTGAAGCCAGGTTTCAACACTGTTGCAAGAAGGATACTGGAGTTGCAAACTCTTCAATAACATCATTGGGAATTATGGGATGATCACAGGGAAGACAACTATATTACAAAATGAGTCTGAAGTCATGGGCATAGTTTAAATACCTGGTACAAGTCTTGAAAGTGTTTCTATATAGAATCCTCTCTTTTTGTGCTCCCATAAAAAGGAACCCTAAAGCGGTAGCTAGATACTATTTCTCATGGAAGTTTTAGGAAGGGGCTGATTTTGATTCTTTCAAATTCATTGTCTGGTTAGAATATAAATTCAAGAGATTTAATATTATTTACTTAATCAGTGTATAGATCACCACAAATATGATTCTAGATCATTTGCAAAGAATAGATAATAAGGTTAAAACAACCAGATAACAATACAATGGCTATAACATGTCAGAGAAACAACAAAACCTGTTATTCACCATAAATATATAACTCAAAAGTGGGGTTACAAACCACCGATCCTAAGGCCTGCTGAAAAAGCCAGATCTTCACAGCTTTCTGAAAATACAAGCTCTGCGGATTTCAGGTGAATGCTGTTCCAGAGGCAGCTATGGAAAAGACCCATCTCTGAAGTCCCACCAGATGGCACTGTTTTACAGATTGGACCTGAAGCACACCAGCCCTGCCCAATCTTACTAGGTGGGCAGAAACAACTGGAGAAAGATAGTATGGTGCATATCCCAGCTCTAAGCCTATGGATTTAGTGTGAACTCCTGAAACCAGTGTGATGTGTCATCCAACGGATAGTCCAGTTGTGGGAAAATCAGGGGGTTCTAATTTCAAATATTCCTCCAACAAACAGCAATGGAAAGCAAACTGCAGCAGCATGCAAAAACTGAAAAACTCAACAGCCTCATGCAAAGGAAGAAGAAAAAAAGCAAAGCGCTTAAAAGGGCAAATATTTGAAAAGTACCTCAGAAGTAACCTTGTTAGACAGTAATTTATAGGTGTACTAGCAGAAAGAGAAAAGACTATCATTAGTGCACAAAGAACAGAGAAAGAGAATGATGCTTATAATGAACTGAAAATGGGTATCTATCTCTGAATTTCTCATTAAGGCAGTTTTATCTGTTAAAAAAACCTGCTAAGCAAAATAGGCAATTTAAGAACAACAGAAAAAGCTGTATGTTACTTGCAAATGTACAGTAACTACTTATCTATATAATTCTTTTATTACAAATCAAGAATTTCCCAAAACTTATGACCTAAAGACTTTACTGGTTCTCTTAGATAAGAAAAATCTTTCCCTTTAATGAATGGAGATATTTGAAATGGACAGTATGCTTTGTCAGTAAAAAAAGAACTGGTTACTTACCTTTAATTAAAGCTACTGAAGTGGTCTTCTGTGAATTTACACATACAGGTTTTGTCCCTACACAACCCCCCATTTGGAATCTTCTATAGCTTAGACATTTTTTGACAGGAGACCTACTCTCTCCATGAATCACATATGATTAGGCATCTCTCTCTCTCATCTCCTTTCGTTTAGAATACAGGTGGTCCTCAGATTATGACCACTCATTCAGTGACTGTTCAAATTTGCAACAGTGCTGAAGGAAGGGGATTTACCGCAGGTCCTTAGAGCTCCGGCCATTTCAGCATCTGCATGGTCATGTGGTCATGATCTGGGTGCTTGGCACCCAGCTCATGATTATATCGCAGCAAGCTGTGGTCACGTAATCATGATTTCCAACATTCCCTGCTGCTTCCCACAAGCAAAGTCATTGGGGAAGTTGGCAGGAAGTTGGAAGTCACAGTCATGTGAAGTCCTCACTTAATGACTGGTGCAGTCCTTGCTTAACAGTGGCAACTGGGACTGCCAGAATTGCCTTCACTAAGCAACAGAGTCACATGACATCATGCTTTATGACCCCGCTGCTTAGCAACGGCAATTCTGGTCCCAATTACCATCGTAATCCAAGGACTATCTATATAGCAAAGCCTTGAGAAGTAGCTTGATGTCATGTAAAACCAAATGGAACAGATGTCAGGTTGTGTAAATTAACAAATGGCCACAAGAAAAATTAGAAAGTAACTAATTTCTTCTTTGTCCTGGTCTCTGTGATTCACACATACTGATGAGTTCCTTGCTTATTACCTAAAGAAGAGAATTGTGGTCAGAAGTTGACAGGAGAAAGGATCATTCTTCCCTCTGAGTCACAGCAGTGAAGCAAACCATGGTTGCTTTGGCCACTGCAGAGAGATGATTGTACAATTAGCTGAATTAGCGATAGAAGCCCACATACCTTGGAATCAAATGGAAAAATTCAGAGATGCCGTAGTCAGAACCAGCTCCCACAGTAGCTGGATAGCAATTTGCTTTGGCCCCAAAGATCTCAGAATGAAGGAGTAGATCCATAATCTTAACTCAGCAAAGAAGGATGGGAGAGCAAGCTCTTGGTGGTGACCTATCATGGATTTTACTTCTAAGATCAAATCTTGGGCTTCAGTGGGAGTCAAAGGACACTTAACGGTTTAGATCAGAGAGGCTACAGAAGTATCAGTGTGTAATTGTCTAATTGAGGCAAAGAACCCATAACTGCAGGGGCAGGGTTTTTTTTAGAAGGTGTTGGCTACTTATCGGGTCGCTTGCCTAGTACCAGTGATAATGGGGCTGTCTGAGGATTATCAGTAGGAGAGGAGGATCCTGAACAGAGTTAGACCATCTGATTTCTGAACATAGTAAGAACATTAGAAAAGCAAAGGGACACAGGTGGAGGAACTGTAGTAGCCTCAGAATTGGCTTCCCCAGGACTCACTTCCTAAAGTTTGCAAATGAAATGAGTGATTGCAAAAAGCCTGGTTAGTGAAAAGCCTGGCAGTGTTTTCAGAAGTCTTCTGCATGGCTTTTCTCAAGGTGCAAAGACAAAAGCTGTGTTTATCCTAAAGGGAAGGTTTTCTACTGCAAGGCTGGCACTTGGAGAATGAGGCCTTCAAAGATACAGGACAATGCCAAGGGTATGGAAGAACGATAGTAACACACTGTACCCATCAAGAGCCTTTACACATGTATGAATAAGAACTGTAAGATGTGTGGCTGGGTTCTGGTGGTGGTGAACATATTCACCCTTCTCATACACATGCAGCTCAGAGATTTGAAGAAAAGCTTTTTAAAAAAATTAAAAATGGCACTATGCAAAAAAAGTTTATGTTTCATTAGAAAGAGATTGTTTTTGTTCCTTGACATTTTCTATTCTATGGTTTGTAGATGAACTGACTGTATTAGAATTAGATGTTTTTCCTTGAAAAAGCTTCGTGGAAAAACTCATTTTCTGATATGATTCCCACTAGCTTGGCATCTCTACGATTTCTGAGTGCACCAAATATTTTCCAGCCTTGGCCTCAGCTAAAGAAATGCTAGCTCACCAGAGAGGTCAAAGTTTTCACAATGCAGCTCAATAAATCTACCCCTACCCTGTATCCAGCCCCAGTCCACAGGAAACAAAACTCATTTTGGACTCAATGTTTCTACAAGTGTGAACTTCCAGCTCTTATTCTTCACTGCCTTTCCCCATCAATGCCTCCCTCACCATTTGTAGAGTTGCTATGGAAAGGATATTCTGTTTGTCCCTGGTATTCTGCTCTTAGCAAGCCTGGGCAGTCTCATATGCACAACCCTTTAAAAGGAATTGATTTTTTCTCTTCAATCTTCCTCATTCTATGCTGTTTTGCTTGTTGCCTTGTGCACCAAATTCTTGTAAGGCAATTTATATAAAAGTTCAAGGATTTTTTTTCTTAGTCTATATGTGGAAAAAATGGCATGGGAGAAATGGAATATGCTTACACTGTTCTCATCCATCCTCTCCCGCCTTTTGGTTTTGTGACTTTCATAATCTTCCATAAGAGTCTCCATCAGGTTCTTGGCTCTTTGGGATCCTCCAGTTTCATCCGATGCGGAGTCGGAATGCGAGGGGGGACCTTCGCCAGTTGGAGATGGAGGTGGTTTGATCTTCTCTATTTTACCTGTAAAAACCCAATCAAAATTTCCTTCTCTAGGCAACAGATTTGGAAAGAGAGTCTGAAAAACATACACCAAACTTCCAAAACAAAGGAGCATTGAATCAGGATAGAGTGCAAAGGTTATTACAAGTGAGAAAGCTTGCGGTGTCATTAAAAAGATCAAGTTAAATTGTTTGCCTACAGATTTTCAAGCTGGGGCCACCAACTACAGCAACTAAAAAAGGATGTACACACGTGCACATGTGTTCTTTCCAGGGAACAGAAGTTTATTTCACTACTGAGCATCAGCAGGGATGCTTTTGAACCTGGTTATAGTATAGAGTCAGGCCTACATTTCTGTTTTCCTCTAAGGTGCTTCACTGCTTCCTGATTTTAGTAGACTAAAAACAAAGGGACACAAGGCACATGAGAAGAAGTCACTCTATAGTTTGTTACTCTCTCATACACACTGATTTTTGAAATGGTTGGCTATAATGCTGTCTATACCAATCCTATTCTCTGAGAAACACTAGTCAAAGTAAGTCTTCTTTTATATTAAAAAGGAAGCCAAATCGCTATTTGATTTATGTTACACCTCTAGACACTGTCAAACCTGGACAGCATTTGGGTGAAAGACCATCAGAAAATTCCAGGGCTACAGGCTAGACAGGTGAAAAAAAAAATCCCAATAGAAGGCAAAGGCAGACCATTTCCACACTGTTGCCAAGAAAACTACATGGATATGTCCATGCAATCACTGTGCAATCAATCGTAAGCTTGATATCACAGGAGTTTTTATCTTTAATTTTGTAAAGACAGTGGCAGTTCAAGGCATTAACAATAGAATTAAATTCTAAAGCTCATCAGCCAAACAAATAAATATACGAAGAAGAAATAAATAACATTCCCTACTAAATCCTAAACTTCAGCAGCAAGTTCATTTAAATGCACTCTCTCACCTTCTTATCTAATGTGCCTCCAAAGTGTTGGTACATAAAGGCTTCTCCCAAGTACGGATAGTCCCGGATTTGCCCGGGTTACAGATGACCCATAGTTAAGAACAGAGCCTATTGTAGCAAAATTCTAGTTAAAAACACAATGATTCAAGTTAAAATGCACAATGGGTAAAGTTCACTACACAATACTTCTTAGACAGTATTATACAATAATACTGTTCCGGCTTACATACAAATTCGACAGATCTTGGGAATGGAACTCGTTCTTAAACTGGGGACTACCTGTATCTTAAAATGAAGACAATTTCATACAATACAAAGTAGTCTGTCAAAGAGTCTGATCCAACGGTCAGAATCAGTGCTTTATGACCCCAAATGAACTAGTAGCCAATGAAGCTGTTGTAACCAAGGAGTCACATGCTCCATATAGGTGGTCCCAACCAATAGCCTGAATTTAGTGTTTGGATCAAAGAATCTGAATGCTTTTCCTAGGCAGCCCCACAAATAGAGTGCTCCTAGGTAGGCCAAAACTAAATACTTGTATCTACACATCAAAGGTAAAGTGTAATCTGATCCTCAACGCATCCGATTTCTTCATGTGACATGAGCACCATAGAATGTGCCTTGCAATTACATTATTTCAAGGCTCAAATATATTGCTTTGTTTGATTAAACTGTCAAACAGAAAAAAAGCACCCCAACATATATTTAAAATAATATTTGTTTTGGTTAATGTTTTAATTCTGAAGAACGTGGACTGAAAAATATAGGAGGAAAAAAAATGCTCTCCTTCCCTACTTTCCTAAATGGTGATCTCTTTGGTTATCATGAACAGGAAGGCACATAGCTATATTATTATATTCCTATAGAAACAGCAGTGGACACAATCTCTCTGTTCATTTTCTATCATTTAAAAAAAAAAAAAGAATTGACAAACAACGGCCTCAGCATTAAAAGGATGGCCTTTCTGTGCATGGAGTATGCCCCCCCCCCCAAAAAAACACCTATGGGCAGCTCCTGCAAGGAACAAAAATTACTGTGGCCACTAGAGGTCAGGGATGCAGCAAAAGCTCTATTTAGAACGAAGAGGCAATTTTTATCTTAAAAACAAAAAAACGACGTGACTTCAGTTAAAACGTATTGCTCTTCTGACCCAACTAGGAAAGTCAACGTTATCATGATATAAAGTTTCACAGACTAACAATTATGGCAGTGCCCCTCTGGATTCTATACAGGACAAATGGAACAGATTTTATATGAAAGAATTAATGGACACAAGTTTGTATCAGGGCTCAAAACAAGGACAAAGTAGTATCAGAGCATTTCAGCCTCCCAGGACACTCTATGGCGGATGTCAAAGTAACCATTCTGTTAAAACAGGACTTTAACAGTACTGTACCACTGCGTGAGACGCTGCTGAATTCACATACATCCAAAGGTTTCAGGCAATCTCAGAAGGTGTCAACAGACAGAGTGGGTTTTTAACACTTGACAATTGTTGTGTGATAAGGTACTTAGAGCCAGTTTGCTATGGTGGTGAAGGCACCAGGCTAGAAACTGGGAGACCGGGAGTTCTAGTCCCACCTCAGGCACAAAGCCAGCTGGGTGACCTTGGGCCAGCCATTCCCTCTCAGTCCTGGGAAGCAGGCCAGGGCAAACCCCTTCTGAAAAACCTCACCAAGAAAACTCAAGAACTAGTCCAGGCAGTCTCTGAGAACTGGACTTGATTGAATGGATAAAAAAAAAAGGTACTTGTTAGCAATCTCCCATGTGACCTGCATCTGCATAACCAACCTGTCTCCCCCTTCCTTACCCCCCACTTCACCCCAATTTAAATCCTACGTCAGTTTAGCCACTCGATGCATCTGATGCAATGAGCTGCAGCTCATGAAAGTTCATGCCTTTTAATAAAATTTGTTAGTCAGAAAAGGTGCTGCTTTCTGATTTTTTGCCACTATAGACTAACACGGCTCTTTTAATTGATTTGTTTGGAGTCTGATGTGAATTTTTGACATGGTATCTTTTCACAATTGATGGTTATTTTTTGCTACAACAAGAACACACAGATGCCATCTCTTCTTTCACACACAAAACATTCGCATGCTTGAAATGGAGTAATTGATCCATTTTTTTCCTATGGAATATGCTAGAGGAGGAAACTAGGACATTTAAAAGAAGTCTGAGAAATTATATGCCCAGTCTTGCTCAACACAACATTTTTCTATTTGTACACTGCTACTTACTTCAGTATTTCATCTGTGGCTACAGCCAGACCAAGATTAAGCAACATTAAATGCAACTGATGTAACTGGGAGCAAGATAAAGATTTATTTAGCTCTTTCCCTCTTAAAAGTGCTTAATGAGATAGGGTATGTACGTACGTGCATACTCATCATACTATTCCCTTTTATGGTAAACATTATGGAGAGTGCAAAAAAGAAGAAAGAAATAATAAGCTATAGAAATTAAGAAGAGAAGAAAACAGCTAAAACAGTATTCAGTATTCCTTTCCATATTCTATTCTTCAAAACATTCGTTGTTTTGCACATGTCCATACATCAATTTATACACTGCCTTTTGCTCTTTAAACTTCTCAGCTCTTTTTCTTACTCTCACCAACTCCATCGAACCATGACTTTTTCATTATTCCTCCTCCTCCTCCTCTCTACCTACTTATTCTTCCATCACGTTTTACAATTCAATCCTCATTCACTCTCTCTATGTTCAACCACCTTAACATACTTCATAAGGGTCATTCACTTTTATATTCAGTCATATCCAGCACCCATTCTTAAGCTTCTTTTTTTACCACACACTTTTTAAGTATCCTACTTCTACTGAATTCAACTTACTTTCATGTTTCTCCTGACATACACATGGCCACCTCTCATTTCCAAATAACAAAGTGGGCATAATCACTCTTATGCACAATCATTTTCACTTCTTTTGACAAATAGTGATTTCTCACAATATATCACATGCTATTACTTTTCTACCAGTATTTGCAGGTCATAACATTTCTTAGCTCATTTTCCTTTCTTTAGTAAATATTTGACAGATCCTCCTGGAGCAAATCTATTTATGTCAGTGTTGTCCAAACTTGGCCACTTTAAGATGAGTGGACTTCAACTC